CCAGCCACTCGGTGCCATCGACGCGACACCCGCGGAGACGGCGCCAGATCCTGTTTCGGACGAAGAATACACACCATCCGTCGCCGCAGACGACGTGAGCGAGCCAGTCGAGTCCGTCGAGGATGCCTCTCCTAGGTCCAGTGCCGTTGGGTCCGAGACCGCTGAGGCATTCGCGGGGGGCATTCCGCCTCATCCAGACGACGATAAGACACTAATAGAGCTTGCCTATGATGGTGATGAAGCAAGAATAGCGGATGACCCTACCATGCTCAAGAAAGCTGCATTCGAGGAACCGCGTATTCTAACACACTATCCCAAGAATCCCTTTTGTCCAGTCTGCCAGATCTCGAAGTCAACTTCTAAGAGAGTCTCACGTAAACCTGATGTCAAAGATGACGACTTCATAGACCCACCAAAAGGTCCGTATGAGCAGTTGTCTACCGATGACGTCATAATGGCAAAAGGAGAGGACTTCGCCGGCAAAGGTGTAGGCGGGGTTAAAGCATTTCATGTAGTCCGAGACACCTACTCGGGTGCTAGAATAGCATACCCCATGAGTAAGCGTGATGCCAGTACCCACTCCAAGAACTTTCGCCATTTCCTAGGCTTAAAGGCTAACGAGGTAGCTACTCGCGTCCTTGTTAAGATGGACGAGGCCGGAGAGTTGGAACAGGCTGCACATGAAGTTGGGTTAATTCCGGAAACGTCCTTGCCAAACAGATGGCCCCATAACGCCATGATGGAAAGAGACATCCGCGAAGAAAAGGAGTGCTGCAGAGCAATCCACCTTCAGTCTGGGTTGCCATACTCCTTTCACACCCACTCATATCCCTTTGCATGTCTTTCCATGAGTTTTGACAGACCGTCAGCCTTGGAACCCGCAAAGACACAATGGGAGGCGCTCACTCGCAAGCACTTCGACGGCATGAGACATTCATTTGGTCAACTGATGTACTACCGTGACAAACGGGTATCTAAACGCACCCTAGAGCCTAACATGTCCCCATGTTTGTTCTTAGGTTGGCGAATAGATGCTGGTTTTCGGTATCGCTATGTCGTTCGTGTTCTTGACTACATGGATTACAAAGTTAATGAACATGTCAATGTCCAAGAAGTCCCCGAAGCTGAAATCTATGTTGAAGATGGTCCTCCATGTTTTCCAATGGCCTCTGTTAAGCTAGCGCATTTGAAAGGAGGTTCTTTAGGAGTCCTCGACGATCTTGCACGCCTTGACATGCCGGATATCCCCATGAAGGAAATCCCTTTTGGACTGGAGGGAGCCGACGCCGTCCCACCAACTCCCATGGACCCTAAAACCAGGGGGGTGTACATCACTTTGGATCGCATCATTCGGTTCAGCGAAACCCCAGGGTGCAAAGCGTGTGAAAAGAAAACACGATACCACACGCCTGCATGCAGGAAACGTTTTGCCAAACTTGTTGACGAGGAGAGACGCGACCTTCTTGCCAAAAGGAGGGAAGGCCTCACCGTGGAGGAGCTTCCACCGCGGGAGCCCGAGACCGCGCCTCCGACGGATTCATCCGAAAGTGTCACCGAGGATGAGTCACACGTCATCGATGCGACTCCGACTGTGATATCGGGGCTGTCGCTCTCGCCACATACCACATACAGGACACAACTCATCCACACTCGCCCGGAGAGTGGAGTCCCGGTGTTTGGCATGCCATCAGCAGCACAACCAGCTCAAGTTTCTAAGTCTAAGAAGAAGAAGAAGAAGAAACCGCGTAAGGCGCGGCCTGGCCGATGCATGTTCGAGTTTGCATGTGCCTCGGATTCGCAAACGCACGAGACTTTTCTGGAGATGGAATTCCCCACATTGCCCTTTCAAAAGAGCACCTCGATCTAGACGATCCCCAAATGCAAGCACAGTTGCACCACCATATAAGCACCTGTGATGAGATTCCTGATTTATGGGCCTCAATCCCTTGCACATCAGGGTCTCCTTGGCAAAGGGTAAATCGCATGAAAGGGGGGCTCAATTTCATAAAAAGGCATGCGCTCCAGGTTAAGGAGTCCAAACGTTTGTTTGCTGAATTCGCTAAGTCTGCAGAGCTCACTTTAGCTCGAGAAGGCACTGTCACCTTCGAGTGGCCTAAAGGGTGTGAGAGTTGGCAACGCACAGACGTAAAACATTTCTTTGATAGCCACCCCGAGTTTGTTCCAGTCGAATTTGACGGGTGTGCTGTTGGTGCGAAATCCACTAAAGGCAGACCCATTAAAAAGAGGTGGCGCCTGATGACCACCAGCAGGGCTATCGTCGACATGTTCTCGCAGTTCCAATGCACCCATAAACCCCACGAACATGACCAAGCGGTCGGGTCGCAGACAGCTCGTACTGCATTTTAACCAAGGCAGATGACTGTCCAAATTGCAAAGGCCCTTTACCCTAGCGTGTCTTTTTCCCATCATGCCCCAGCCATGCCATGTTTTTCATGTACCCATGAACATGAGCACAGGGACAAAGAGCAGACGCTGAAACATGTGTCAGCTTTGTCGGGGATCGACGCTATGGCCATCGCAGTTGAGACAGATGACACTGTCGGGCAAATGGTTGAGTGTTTAATGGATATCAGTGCTCTTATGCACGAGGCCTACCAGATCCCAAAGACCGATGATGGTAAAGATCAGGTAGCAGCTTTGGTCACCAAGCTCCTAAGCCGTACCGAGATGCTCAGTGATCCTGAAGCCTTGCAAAAGGTTAAGGACGAGGCAGCCGATTTGGTTAACGAAGGTACTTGGGAGTATGAATCCGTTAGGGAGAAGGAGCACGTCCGTGCTGAGGCTAAGGCTTCCGGAGTCTCCGTCCATTTCGGTAAACTAATGACCATAGCCTCCATTAAATTTTACGAGCTGGCAAAAGAGTTGCAGAAAAAGAAAGGTAGGATTGTCTACCGAGGTGACTGCGCAAAGGACGAACATGGCGCAGCAGCCGTCTATGAAGAATTAGGCAAACCCGACTTCGGTCCAAGGGTTGAACGCTTGCCTCGCCTACGGGTCACTACCTGGTAACCTGTGCACCGCCGCGGATGCGGTGAAGGCGTATGTGCAAGCAACACTAAAATCCAAGTATAAAACTTGGATCGAATTACCACCTGAACTTCGACCCGCATGGTGGAAGAACAAATTTGTCCAACCAGTGGTCCTTCTCGTCAAAGCACTGTACGGACATCCCGACGCAGGAGGAATGTGGGAACAGCATTTGAAGGGCATTCTTAAGAAAATGGGTGGCGAAGAAATCCCAGAGTTCCCCGGTAACTTCTGGTTTTCCGGTCCTCGTTTAATGTTATCCACATACGTTGACGACCTCACTTTGGCAGGCCCACGGGAACACCACCAAAAGTTTTGGTCAGAACTCACGAATGTTGTTAACGTTGAACCACCCGAACCTATTTACAGAATGCTAGGAAGGAACCACATCTGCGGTAGTCCCAGATTCAGGAAACACCGAGACCGCTGCTTTGCGCGGTAGCGCTGACGCCCTAATCTTCGACATGAAAGATTACGCGCAGCAAACCATCGACCTCTACAAGTCGGTGGCCGGTGTTGATAAGATAAAGTCAGCCCAGACGCCATTTCTCGCCGACGGCGCATTCACCACGGCTGATGAGGAGTCGCCCGGAGAGCTCGCACCAAAAGCATGCTCTATCCTGATGAAAGCCCTCTGGCTTGCCAGGTTAGCACGACCCGACATCCTTAAACCGATCAATGATCTAGCCACTAAGGTACAGAAGTGGACCCGTGTGCACGATAAAGAGTTGCTACGGCTCATTCAGTACATTCAGCACTCACTAGAATATAGGTTAACCGCCGTCTGCGGCGATGATGCTAGTGAGCTGTGGCTAGAGCTGTTCGTGGATGCCGATTTTGGTGGCGACCAACACGACGTGAAGTCCACCTCCGGTGGGTACTTAGTACTTAAGGGCCCTAACACCCATTATCCACTAGCATGGGTGTCTAAGCGCCAGACCTCCACGTCAAGGTCCACTACAGAATCGGAAGTAGTAAGCTTGGCCTATTCGTTGTATCAAGAAGGTCTCCCTTCGTTGCAGCTATGGGATAAACTTCTTGGACGGGCCGTTAACCTCGTCATACAGGAAGATAACCAAGCCACGATTCTAGTAGTAAGAAAGGGCTTTTCCCCTAAGCTGCGACACATCAGCCGAACCCACAAGATAAATCTTAGTTCATTAAAAGAATGCATCGACGACCCATCTGTCGAAATTAAGTACATCGATACGAATGAACAAGCTGCAGACATTTTCACCAAAGCGTTGCCACCACAAAAGTGGTTTAAAGCGCTATGCTTGCTTGGCATCTGTACAGATTTAAAGTGCTTAGTCCCATCTAAGACAGATAGGAGCCTTCCGAGCAGTTCGAAGCCTTCGTAGGTCGTCGAAACCGCTGCCACCCGGCGCGGTACTTCGTGCATGTACAAAGGGATGCTGCCCCAAAACGGGGAGGGGGGAGTCATTTTCTGTGAGCCCCTAGTATGTAACAGCATTCACTACATGTCCATCTATTTAGCTACGGTTCACTAAGGCATGTGAAACACATGCTTCGACCGTCGCTCTTGGCTCAAGGAAAAGGGTGCCTCCGTCACTCTTTTCTTTCAGGGTGCCGGGTTGGTTGACCTGTGGTCGGCCCTCCCTTTCGTTGCCTTCGTGCTTCCGCACTCTTTCGCACTTCGTTGCCCCTTCCGTTCGTTCGTTCGCCGTCGTGCCTTCGTCCGTCCGGCAACTCGCACTTTCGCCACGGGAACTCGACCCTCCAACCGTCGGGTACTCGTTCCGGTCGATCGTGCCGCTAGGGATTTGGCATACCACTTCTACTTCCTCCCGGTAGATAGAATAAGTTGGGCCATCCCTTATCTTCCCAATAATTTGTGGATTCAATTTCAACACCCCATATGAGACCATGGCATTTAGGGGTTGAACATCCATCCACCGTCATATGTTGCAACATGTTGCTGCTCCGTTGAGGCTGAGTGATGGACACTCCCAGGACCGGGAAATGGCCAGGTTGGTCCCTCCACCCACTGAGGCCTGGTTGGCCCCTTTGTGGACCGGTGCCAGGGACCTGGAATTTCTGGACGGTACTGGGTGGTTGGACGAACCATAGAGTCTATGTTTAAGAAGTGGAGTTGGCTATGGCTCCAATATCACGACAAGCCATAATTAGGGTACCTCTCACTGCTTCTCACTGGCAAAAGGAACAATCTTTTTTAAAGCCACAACTCATTATCATCGGTATTCTTGCTCTTCAAGAACATCCAGTTGGGTACCTCTGTTTTTGGACCACTGAAGTTAGCCCTACGCCGCCTGCACTATCCAGGACAGTCCGTGGCCCGGTCCCGGCCGAAGCCCAAGCCACTGGCCACAGAGGCGAAGTGAACTTGGGGGGAAGTGAACTTGGGAGGTTCGGCTGGGTCGGATTTTGGAGGTGTGACACTTCGTTTAAATAATTTTTTTTTTTTCCTCCCTCTTCCTCCCTCTTCCTCCCTCCCTCCCTCCCTCTTCCTCCCTCCCTCGCTCCCTCCCTCCCTCCCTCCCTCGTCCTGCTAAGGCAAAATCTAAAGGTCTGCATAGATGTTCGTGATCACTCATCTCACCCAGTGCCAAGCAACGCCGATGGTTCTTTTTGATGTGTGTCTTCTTGAGTGTGTTCGCCAAGCTGTTATACAAGATGGTTTTGGTGCGCCTTGAAGGTCCCTTTGCCCAGATTGTTACAGTCCGGACCTCATTGAGAATGTGACCAGAGCACCTTGGGCCAGCTTCTTCATTGCCCTGAGGCAAAGAAGGGAAGCCTAGACCCGACCGACTGTGCCACTTCCTGTGGAATGTCGCTCAGCTGTGCGAGTGGAATGTTCGACTGGCATGTTGGCATCATGATTTTCTGAAAACATGTTGAAAGGAAGATGGGCAAGCATTCAGGAGTAATTGAGGCTCTTCGCCTTTCCCACGTGAACCCGTGCTTGGGATTCTGCTGTTGAAGACTGAGCCACGAGGACTTCTACAGATCCTGGGTGAATGTGGCGGAAAAGGTCCATAGCACTAGCCACCTGGCAGCGCGGAGGGGGGGTTCCAGGGGCGAACATTTCGCCACTCAATGGCCTGCGGCGCGAGGCAATTTCACAGAGAAGGATGCTGTGGTGGAAGGGCAGGCGCTGCTAGATGGACCTCCTGGTGATTTGAAGACTTGTACAGCATTGGACAGCGCGGCGCAAGGAAGTGATCCACACGAATAAGTGATCATAAAGGTTACGTGATGGGCCAGTAGGTTAGAGTTATGAATGACCATGTAAGTTGTCATCAGGTCAGTGTTGCTGTGATTTTGTCACAAGAAGGGCCAGCTGGGCAGGTTGGGCTGATCCCACAACTCCAGCGCTGGCAGGCTGGTTTTGAGAGGGTGCCAGTAGCACCTGCTGATCAGTTTGCAACCCCACCAGGTTCGCAGTTTGAGGTTTCAGAGTGCATGCAGTACATGCACCTCCCTGAAGTACGTGTCCTCATGTTACAAACAAACCATATAGGAGCCATGCCTGAGTTGTGGGCCTTTTATATACTCCGGAATCATTCTTGGAGACTCTCGATCAAAGAGTTGAACCGCCAAGTACAATATGAAGGGATGTTCTCGGCGGTGGGCCCCGCTTCGGATATCCCATCACTGCGCGCGAACACCGCAAAGTTGCCCAGCATCCGAGTTGCGATCATGTGGTGAATGTAGGTTCATCTATATACATATATCTACAGTACAGAAATTAATCATATATCATCTAATGTTGGATTGGATTGGTTTGCAAGGTCCTACTAGGTTTCCTTGTTATCCTCAGGGTTGTTGTCTTGAGGAGGTCCAAGAAGCAGCACCAGACCGCGACATGACATGGCTCGGCTGTGCCAGGTGGCTGTGATCGGTAGCGTCATCGTACTGGTGGCACAGGGCTTTCGATTCCGACACGAAGGCAAGGAGCCTGGCGAGCCGTGCTCCCTGGGAGCTGTGGGGAAGGTGCAAGAACTCCGGTAGAGAAAGAGAGAAAGAGAGAAAGAGAGAAAGAGAGGTAGAGAGAGAGAGAGAGTGAGAGTGAGAGAGAGTGAGAGTGA